AATTATCATGGACTATCTGGGTGGTCTCAAGGTAATTATAAGAGTCTGTTCAAGATGGAAGAGGAGGAAGAAGGTCCAAGTCAGAGAGAGGTTTTAATAAGCTATGCTGCTGACTTTGAAGATGGGGGAAGGGGTCAGAGCCAAGGAATGTGGTGGCCCCTGGCAGCTCCAAGCTGGCAAGGAAATGGACTCTCCCTAAGGTCTACCCGGTGAGCAGAACATCTGGCTAACCAAGGCCACAACCTGGGTGTACTCAGGTGAAATGGCCAACATTATCAAGAGGAGGGTCCCCTACCCACACACCCTTCGCCAAAGTGGTGACACAGTTGTGGGAAGAGGACGATGATCCCACTGTGTCATCAGCCCTCTCTCTTGGATGTCATACAGTCATGTCTGAAAGCACATGCTCTCCCTCTGTCCCTATAGGACTCAGGACAGTCACTGAACGGTTCTGTAGGATTAGGAAGTTTGTAGCCATGCATGGGGATAAGCCAGTGAACTCACAGGAGTCTTGAACCTATGACCTCAGCTTCACCAGCATTACCTCCAGCAACTGCAGCCGCTAAGCTCATCAGGTGGAAGTGTGTTCAATTCTCTTTTATGCTCTGAGGCCAGAAAGAGACCTGAAGTCTGTGATGTTTTACTTCTGCCTCCCTTTCCTTTCCGAGGGCTGAAAATAGTTCAAAGGCAGCAGTTATGTAGCCAGCCGATGGCTTCCCTGAAGAACGTGTCTGGAGCACAGCCAGCGACCATGGCTGTGAGTGTTACCGGGCACATCACAACAGGCTGACAACTGAGGCTGAATGAGAGACCACACTGGGACAGTCCTATGTGTTGGCAAAATTCTCCACCAACAAAGAGAACAGAAAGCTCTCATTAGACTCCACTAGCATAAGAAAAATTAAAGTCCTTACCATTTATTGAGCATTTCACCACAGAGCAGGTACAGTGTGCTAAGTGCCCTATAAACATCTGCTCTTCACAGCACCTTTGAGACAGAGGTGCTCTGCTGATCCCACCTCACAGGTAAGAAATCAGGAAAGCTTTGGGGTACCGGGCGAGGAATGGCAGAGCTGGGACTCAAAACAAGACTTTCTGAGTCCAATGTCTGCGATTTCAGTTACCACACCACATTGCCTTTAATGCAATAGCAGAATAAGAGACATTTTTGAGAAAGAGGCAGCAGAGAATGGCATCAATGTAGCAACCCACTTGCAAGCCAAGAGATTTATTTACAGCCGCTCACTCAACATTTTTTGAATGCTTGTTTTGCACTAAGACTTTGTGCCAGTGAACTGCTAAAATATCAAAGGATATCAGGTAGCAGGACTGGAGACAGAGTGAAGGACAGCAACACCCCAGAACACGCTCCAACAGCGAGAGACCCGCTGAACAGGCAGCCCTGGCAATATTGGGGGGAGGTTGCCAGCCCCCCGGAAACAGCAGCAGGCAGAATGACTCCACAGGTGGCAATAAAGAGGTAGCCTCTCCAGCAAAGGTGTCAGGTATCTCATGTGGAAAACCCCCCAAAATCAACATGCAGCAGGCTCTGGGAACATAGTCAGGGACCAGGGACCCAACATAAGGAATGGGTTCTCCTTGCATGTAGTGTAGAAAGAGCTTGTCAATGCTGGCCTTTCATTTACTCAAATGATAGGCTAACACAGGCACAGTGGTGGGGAAGTGAGGGTTGGCCCAGGGGCAATTCAACCATTGAAAGATCTTTAGCAACACTGAAAATGCCCTTCGCAGCCTGGATTTGAAGGGCTGGCCCCTACCATGAGGGAGGCGCTCTCCTGTTACCCTGACAGCCCAATCAAACACCATTCATCACACACATGCCTAAGTGATAGGGAATCTGGGTATGTTTTTCATTCAACATACCCCAATGCGTATTCCGGTCCTGGTTTGCCAAAGACAGCCCGGGCTTACTTGTGTTCTCCCTTGAATGGTTAATAATGTCCCATTTCATTCTGAAAAAATGTCCCAGTTTAGACAGTAAGTTAAATGATCACCTAACCCAGAAAACTACTTTCAGGCATATTAATAGCTCTGTTGTCCTGCTCTGCACCTGTAGCATGCCAATGCATGTTGTGAGCCTTGACGTATGAAATCTACTACACAAACTATTCTGGTCAAGGAACTTAAAGGCAAAACATGTTATCATCTGTGTACTGCTGTTGTGCTACACACAATGTGGGGAATATTGTGTTCCACAACAAGCTTGGTTGTTGTTAGAACACATGGCTTCTCAGAAATTTAATATTGTGACATGTCATGAATTTCCAAGAGGCTCATATACTAAGCAGTTTTTCCAAACTTATTTAAACACAGAATCATTTTTTAATGAAACTTCGTGAGAGATCAGTGTCCCACAAAATGCTCCCCCATTTTTGTCCAACAAACACGGGTGCCTAGCATGCCCTGGAATTGTTCGAGGTCCTGGAGAGTCAGCAGGGAACAAGGCGGTCCTTGTCCTCGGGGGGGCTAACACTCTAGTGGGGAAGACAGGCCATGAACCTATAAACAGACAAAGAAAATCTGGACAATGATCTATCCCCCAAGCAACTGACAGACCAAATAAAACCTACAATACCCAGCATTTCTGAGAAATACTCACGCAGCAGCAACCCACTTTCAGACAAGAGTTGGCAACGATTCACGTCTGTCAAAAGCCATCGATAGGCACGTTTTCTGAGCAGTAAACATTCCCTTAACAAGCCTCTGCTCTGTGAACTGACTGTACTTCATTCAGCATTCTTGTTAGTGTAAATGTGCCTTTGGGGGAGTCCGACTCCTATCGGCTTTTGTTTGTAGACTATATTCATAATTTGTCTTTAATACTCTTCCCTGTTGTGTCTAGACTAAGGTGTTATTGAAAATTGCATCGCTTTCAAAGAGATGTTTATAGTTGCTCAGCACCCAGGGAGTAAATTAGAACAAATGGAGAGTTAGTACATTCTATGCCATGCACCCCACCCCCTCGGGCTGGGATGAGGGACAAGGAGGTCCTTTAGGAAAAAAAACATGCATGCACGCACACACACACACACACACACACACACACACACACACACAACCCCTACCCTTTGGATCAATTCTGTGCAGAATAGAGACTCATATTTAAATGAATAAGCCAAGTTAAAACTTTCCCTCCTGGAACAAAGCAAAAGGAAAGCCTCTTTATGTTGCAGGGGCCTTAGATGCCACAGCTGAGCCTGTCCCAAAGCTTCCCTCCGCTGCTCACAAACTAAGCCATCTTGCTGCATTTAGCACTTCTCACCAGACCACCCACCCAGATGCGGATACACAAACCACATGTGTGAGGAATGCTGCTCGGCTAGGAAATCAGTATCAGTATTTCAACCTTATTACTTGCACAGACGGCCTTTTTAGTGCAACTCATTTGTTTTATCTTTTCAATAGCTTTGATTATTTTCTTTTAATGGCCTGGATTTATCCCTTTCTACTCTTTTGAAACTTCAGAACTCTGTGGTGGGGACTGCATGTGGTGGAAGACACGATTACAAGGGGAAAATGAGCAAATAGCTTTGCATTTACTCACCGCCTATCTCCCCACTCCTGTGACCACCTATTGCCCGGTTGCCCGGTAGTGCCCTGAGTTAGTACAAAAAGTGGCCTCAAGGAGCCTTTCCATTCACAGGATAGGGTATTTTTATTGTTATTTAATAGCTATTGAGCCCAGTTACAATTACTGTTTTTTAGTTTGTACCATGTATTTCTCTTCTTAGTCCTCAGGATTGATACAGGTCACTCTTGAATCGAGAGAGAATTAAGACCAAGAAGCTAAAACCTGACAGCCCAGGGCAAGTTAACAGCCTCTGGAAAAGATGGGAATTGACTTTAAAGAAGGGACCATACAACCAGGAAGGTGTGGATACCATCCCCCAGCAGAGAAAGCAGAGCACTGAAGGGTTTCCCATTTGGGTGGTATTCTGGGCAAGGAAACCAGTAAAATATGCTTAGTTGCTCTACTAATGAGAACAAAGAAGACCATTAGTTTTGGATACTGTGCTCCTGAATTACCGAGCAGGGAGGTCTGGGTATCAGGCCTCAGTTAAGCTGCCATCTCCCGCCAGGACTCCTTGCGTATCCACGTGGGAACGCAATTCTGAGACGGTGGAACAAATGTCTTGGGAAAACTGTAGCTCAGCATACTTCCTGTGTGAGACCGCTTGGTGAGGGCACCCTGAGTCTTCAGGAGGCCCGAGATGCCCATCTGGACTTTCTCTGGGCTGGAGAAAAATGCAAGGCCATTATTTTAAAAGAAACAAATGAATATCTATGCTGAAATAAGACTAGTCCAGTTCCAGCCTGGTCATTAGAAAGCTTAACTGTCAGCCAGCCCACCCGGGACCAACGCTTCCACACCTGCAGTCAGTCACGTTCCCGAAGGTGCAAGGCAGCCCGCCATTATCTTCTCGATGGCTTGTCGGCTTGCACATACTGCTACTTCCTCAAATTTGATGTCTCTTCCCTATGAAAAAGAGTCTTCCATCCAGTTCCCTGGTTATTTGCCAAACTAAAAGCATTCTATGCTCTTTGTCGAAGCAGGTTTTCTCCTTCCTGTCTAATTAAGGTAGCGTTTCTCACTGCTATAGTAACTGCAGTGCCTCTGCCAGAAGACTGGTCTGTCCAGTGATAGTGTGTTGTTTAGTGTATGAACAAAACCTTCCAGAGAAATGGGGGGAAATGAAAAAATATCATGCACAGGTAACCGGATTTATTCCAAAAACACGTGCCACCATGTTTCGCCCAATGCTATAGAGCTTAAAAAAGTGTATTGGTTTTAGGGCCCAGAAAATGGTGCTCAGACACTCCTGGTCTCATCTCTCCATTCCTTCTTCCTTGGGACCAGCATCTCTTCTTGAGGAAGGGTAGGGGCTCATTTTTCTGTATGCAAAGCAAAACCAAGCTTTGGTCAAATGACTCTTAACAAATCGGTAAGACTATACATTGTAAAAAACATGGAGCCACAATAGATTAGATATGAATTTAAGAAAAACAGCTATTTCTGTCAATCTGTACTTACATTTCAACACGGGTTTTAGAGATGGGAAATACATCTTACGAATGCCTTGTTGTTCACATAATAGCATCTACACACACATACACAGTATCTTTCAACAAAACTACACATACACACTCCATTTTAAAAGATACTGACAGATTTATAAAATGTATTGGCCTTGCATTATTAATCTCAGGAATACATTTTTACTTAATTTATTTTTGCACTGCATGATAGCTCTGGCCACCATTCAGGATCTGTCAGCATTTCCATCAAAACGCTATTTTCAGAATAGTGGAGTAAGTGCCAAGATACATATTTACAGTTTACAGACAGCGGTGGCTTTGTCTTCCTTTAAAATTGACTTCTTCGATGCATCTTTACAAGGAATATTCAGGGATGGCAATGCCTACATGACAAAAAGCATCATATAAAACAAGGGGTCAAAGATGCAGACTTCCAGCCCAGGACTAAACCGTGGGGACTGACTCCTCCACATTCACTGCAGTTGTAGGAGACTCAGCATCACAGTCTCAGTTTTAGAGCGACAGTCCAAAGCAAGTTTGTAATATGTGTGTGTGTCTCTGTGTGCGAATGCAGTACACACACAATGCTGAAGGTGAAAAGTAATGAACATATACAGCGAACTATTCCAGAACTGATCACATCCACAGTGAGAAAAATGAACACCAGCCACCAAACACAAACACTGACCATTTCCAACACTGAATATCCAACTCCATCACCGAGGCAGAGTTAAAACATTTAAGATAAAGTCTCTTCTCTTAAACACATATGTTAAATCGTTAACATGCACAGGGCTTGGAATGTTATGCAGGCCTGATCAGTCTTTTATAAAGATGAGCTGAGTCTGTAGAAATTATCTGTAGAAACTTTTTTTTTGGTGGAAGAAAGCCAAATGTATTAGCTCTGTCCACAAAAAGGTGCATAATTATTCAGATTAGAGAGATTTGCTTAGCAATTTAAAAATGTTTAGGACACTCTCCTATGATTTTTTTCCCTCTAGTCTAACGTTTTCATGTTCTCCCCTACTCTGACACAATATACAAGCATATACAGACATGCCTACTTGTCTACACAGAGAGATGGATTACGGTAAAGAAACGAAACAACTGCAAACGGTGTTGCTGACATGACCGCCACATGCAGAGACAGAAGCACCTGCTCTCATACATATTCTGCAGCAAAACCAGAGGCAGAAGCTAATTTATTAGGGGAAAGTTCTGTACATAGACTCTTCTCCTCAGATTACTGGGGAAAAATTTACAGAAAGTTTATCATATTCTGGCTGGCTCAAACTATATTCACACTCACCCAATTAAGTTTATTTGAAACATCTATTTATATGTATATACACCAAAGAAATTAAACTCTGCCATTTTGTTTTTGTGCTTAAAAAACCAAAGCCACTATTAGGACACACGCGTGCCCCAAACATTTTTAAACAGGTTTCAAAGGTGAGTGTACATAAATGTGGCAGAACTGAGTGGGCTGCTTTAAGAGAAGTATAACTTTTTGAAATCAGTTGAAAGGGGATTTATTATTTCTGCATTTATAACTTAGATGAAAGCAAGGGTGTAACTTCTAGAAACTTAACCACATGACTGGTACTCTACCAGAATTTTATGGAAAACTCCCTTTGCTCATCCACAAGTAGTAGATGGGTAGTTTTCCCCAGATTTTGTTATCAACTGCAAACTCACACTGACAATATTCTGAAGATATTTGCTTTATCACCTGAACTGTGCATCTAAAGTTTATCGCTGTAATAATGTCTCTTCTTCTTAACCGTTTTGTTCGATCATTTGTGTTACCTAGTTACTTGCTTAGTAACCTAAGGAACAACAACAACAAATCTTTACATTGCCAAATCATAGTTTTTGCCACACAATTCAGTTACAAAAATAAAAATGGCCCAAACTACATACACACATTCCTAGTTAAACTACACAGATATTTCAGATACACCACATACATTTCTAGCTTCATTAGGATATGTGAATTAGCAGTTAGAAATTTTAAAGAGATTTAAATTTTGCAAATAATGCCATTCAAACATTGTCCTCCCCTTTCACCTGCAAAGTTCAAAACAAAACAAAGCACAACTAAAGTCGCACAATTCATCAGTCACCTAAAATGACTCAGGAAGTTTCTCTAATTAATCACCGAGAAGTGGACCAGACGACAGATGCTTCAAGGACAGTTTGTGCCAATCACCAAAAATCGTAACATGATTGAAAACATACACTTGTCCTTCAGGGAGGATGCTTCGGAGAAGTAATTTACAAGAAGCATGGTGGTATTTTTTTTAAAGGAAAAAATAGTGTCTTTGGATAGAAATAATAAAAGGTAAAAAAAAAATCCCCCTTTTTAAAATGCAGAAATAACTCCATTATCAATCTTCATTTACATCACTGCCCCAAAGAATGGGTCTGGAAAGACCGTTTTCTGTACAGACACTAGTTAATCTCTGTATGAAAAGACAGCATCTGGCATGGGAATAAACAAGGGAGACACTGGTCTATTAGCACAGATAGAGACTCTCTTAAGGCTGATCCAGTGAATGAACCTTTGGATCCAGAAGTATTTCTTCATTTCTTTTCTTTTTAGTCGAGTTCCTAGCAAAAACTTGAAAGATGAGCTGTTCTCACTTTGCATTTCTCCATTTCTGGAGGGGATGGAATAATGACACCAAAAGTACTTTGGTTTTGTTTTTTTTGTTTTTTTTTTCTTTAAAAATAATTTGCTTTCTTTTGCATGCCACAGGAAAGGTTTCTAGTTTCAAAACAGGGTACATCAAGAACAAAAATACCCCCCCTCCCCAACCTCCTTTATTTTCACCAATACAAGAAATCCTTCTGGAAACATAAGCAAGGGACTAAACAGGTATTGAACCACTGAATCTACAGGTTAATACATAATCTGTTATGGCAGAATAACCAGGAATTTCCCCCCAAAGAAAGATTTAAATTTTCCAAATATAAAAAGAGTCTAAGGGGATCACATGTGAATAAATGAAAATCTCTTATTCCAGGTTTTATGGTTCAGATGAATGACACACTGGCAGCTGAAGAAAGCTGAGGAAGCTCTCACTAATAAATAGATCCAAATTACGAATTTCTACAACATTTGTTTAGAAAACAGAATCAGAATTCCTTTTTTTTAAAAAAAAAAATGATGATCCTCTGGAATGCCTTCACTTCCGTATTTATCTACTATTGTAACAGTGACACAGACACCAGGGTGCTGGCGACAGCTCAGCAATGCTGGACGCAGGACGTTTACACGCACACTTTTGTTTAAAAGTCCTACGATTTGTTGACTAAGGCTAAACAGCAGGTCATGATCCTATTTGGTGCTTTTTTCTACCATGGTCCAAGATCATTATATGGATACAGCCAAGGACTGGGCCCCAACTTTCAGGAGAAAGACCACAAAGAAGAAAATCAGGGTGGTTATTTGGTCCCCCCAGTTGATCGTTTGTGTCCTAGAACTGGAAAAACAGAAGGTGGAAAAACAGACTACAACGAGTTAAAGGAGTTGGAAAAAGTTGGTGGAGAGTGGCACGGTGTACAAGTAAGGTCACTGGGCTTGGGATGGCCAGGGCGCTGCATTGAAAGAGCATCCACGGGACCAAGTACTTATAATGTCTTGTGGTGTCATTCCCTCAACGACTTTCAGATATCTGTATGCGATAATAAATAGATCAGTTATGTAATAAGGCAGTGTGTTGAATATGCATTCGTCCTGTGGAATGAACCACCACAGAGAGAGATACATGATACCATACACATTCTTTAAGTTTTCTTGTGTTGTGTTTGATTTGTTTGTTTTCAAGGCTATCCAGGCAAACTCTTCCCGGGGATTTCCTTGGAGAGAAGAGTGGTCCGCTGAGGCTGGTTTGCTTAACCTCTCCTTTATCAAGAGATGATGACTGGCTTCAAAGAAAAATAAAGCTGAAGGTTGCTTGATTTTTATTTTTTCCCTTTTGGTTGCATCATTCTGAGTGTTTTCTTATAAACAACAACAACAAAAAAAATCACAACCAAAAAAAACCCCAATCGTTTTTGATGCATCCAGTTGTTGTATCCTCAGGATGTTCCAGATGTCTCCAGGTAACTCTGTAGTTTACGGACTGTCGTTTTGTCCAGCGAGCAAAGGTCAAAATCAAATGTTGTGTTTGTGATATGAAAGTGTCCAGTTTCTTCTATGAGGTTCACAATCTAGAAGAATAAAGAAGAGAAAGTTGGGACAATAATAAATGGACATCAAAAAGCAAAGAGAGAGAGGTGGAAGGGGTCAAATATGGAACATCTGACATAAACGGTAAGAAGTTCCTATACTATTACAGGTACCAACATGTCTCTTAGCCAATTTGTAAGCCAAAGGAATATTAACCCTTTGAAATCCTGAATGAGAGCAGATGACCTGTTCTCACCATTCATATCCTTTAAACTGCTTCATGCTTTCAAGTTATCAACAAAGTACTTTACTGTAGAGGTAGGAATGAGAGAGAATTGTTAGGGGGAGATATGATTTCAAGACCACTTTAACTCTTAGTTATTGACTCAATAGAGAGTAACTATACCTACTAGGTGTATGGAAATTCCAGTCTGGAATTAACAAAACTAAAAAAAAAAAAGTACACACCCACACACACACACACACACACACAAATACTGATGAACATTTTCCATTTTCCTTCCTGATTACATTATTGTTGAACTTTTAAAAAGTGCGAGAACTGACACACACACAAAATGGAAACCATGTCCAATCTCCAGCCCCCTGAAGATCATGGGTAGTGAGTGACTGGCCGCGGGGCTTCAGGGAGCCTGCTCAGGGCATGACAGCTGTGCTTGTTGCTTGGATATAAGAGATGCATTCACTTTGTTAAAATTCACAGAGCTTAACACTTTGTTATACCTCAACAAAAAATGAATAAAAATCTATATTTATTACTTATAGTCATGTTCAGTCGATTCCCTGGTATATTTGGGGGTGATAAGCCATCAGAGAAAGAAAGGATGCTTTTGTCTCCTTGTTTGTCATAGTTACACCTCATTTCTTATTGCATTGGCTACAACTTTCAGAAATGTGATATACAGAAGTGGTCAGAGGCACTGCTGCCTTGCCCTGGCTTTCAGGAGGACACATCCAAGATTTCAACATTAAGAATGTTGGTTATTGGATTGAGAGAATCTTTTACTATGTAATGTGTCTTTTCGTTCCTATTTTACTAATAATTTTGATCAGAAATGGATGCTGTGCCTGAGTAGTGTGGGATTTAGATATGCTTGCTGTGGGTCAAAGGGGATCAAGGGGGTTAATTGCAGTAAGCTTGGGTGTGTGTGTGTGTGTGTTGGGGGGATGAAGGCGGGGAAGGAGAATTAGCACCAAGATGAAAGATAAAATGCACAGAAAAAACGACTGGCAAATTCTTCCACTTATTTTTAGTTGTCTCTATTACTCCCTTTCTATCACTTACTTTGATTCTCTTTGGTTCAATAATCTCATAAGAGAAAAAATACTTTAAATTAATTAGCCTACTCATTTAATGACATTTTAGATTACCTAATTGCAGGTTGAGAACAGCAAAAACTTTTGACATTATCTTTTTAAAATTAATTTTCTTAAAAAAAAGTAACTTGTGAACGATTCCATATGGGTTGGTGGCTCTCAACATAAAATGTGCTCCCCTTTCCTGGCACATCTGACTTCCACAGACACACAGGACACACTGAGCCTCATCCAATGGTCGCACAACGCCAGACTTAGCTGCCTACACCTTATTCAACAAGACTATTTCTTAGATAAAACTACTGGTTTAATAATAAAACAAGTTACTCCCATTGCAAAACCATGACATACACAGTCAACTGCCTACCCGATATCCATTTGTCCCTTTCTTTCTTACTAACAGAAGCTTGATTTTCTGGGAGGGGCAACACACCAGGCTACAGTACGTGCCCCTCCTGACTCATGTGTAGCACTTAGTAGACACCCCTATTTACAATGTATTTTTCAAAAATCACTGGGCTTTTGGAAACATTTTAGCAACAATGGCACATCCCCTTACCCTGTGCCCCTCTTCCTGTCTGAAATGAAGGTGCAACCCTGGAAGCGTAATGCCTGTCTCCCACTCATGGGGATGAATGCATGATGTGAAAGACAGCCAAGCAGGAAGACCAGAAGTCTACATCCTCGGTGGCATCGTTTAAGCCACCACACTGACTACAAATTACTTACCTCCAGGTCTGTTACTATGGGGGGTAGGTGGTGAGGGAGCCTTCCTTGCTTAAAGTGCTGGACCTAAGGTTCCATCACATGCACGAAGAGATGACTAAAGGGGGTATTCCCAGCTGTGGTTAAACTACAGCATTCATATAAGAGTTTATCAAGCAGGATGATCTTATTATTAACACTAAAAGGTCTAAAATGGACCCTCATCCTTTAAATTAGTTAACAGTTACAGAACTTTGGGTAAGTTACACACACACCCACATAAATACAGAGACATACACCCAGCTGTGTCCACACACACAGACCTTTCAAGGCAATCACACTTGCTATATACTTCACACTGATTGATTTAAGAGGACTTTCCAGAATAAATTCTTTTTTGCCCCATCGTGTCAAAATACCATACAACTAGTGAAAATGTGTACATTTCAGGGGAGACACAAACAGCCTCTTCAGAGCTCTTTCTGGATAGACACAAATGGCCTTTTAATTGATATGATGGAGACAAATGACAATTATTCCAGAGTGTGACTTGTCTCCCCAACTAGCAGGCAGGGAAAGGATAAAGCATTCGGAATAGAGTCCTGGATTTGGCTTATGGAGTTCTGACTCTGCTCACTACTTTACTTTTTTTTTAACTTTTTTATTGATTATGCCATTACATTTGTTCTATTCCCTCCTCCATTCCCCTCCACCCTGCATACCCCTCCCCCACCATTTCCCCCTTTAGTTCATGAACATGTGTCTCAAATTCTTTAGATTCTGTATTTCCCCTACTATTCTTACCCCCCCCATCTATTTTCTATCTACTGTCTATGCTACTTATTTTCTGTACCTTCTCCCCCCTTCTCCTCCTCCCATTCCCCTGTTGCTAACCCTCCATGTGATCTTCATTTCTATGGTTCCGCTCCTGATCTAGCTGTCCTCTTAGTTTGCTTTTGTTTTAGGTGTGGTTGTTACTAACTGTGAATTTGCTGTCCTTTCACTGTTCATCTTTTTTATCTTCTTTTTCTTAGGTAAGTCCCTTTAACATTTCATATAATAAGGGCTTGGTGATGATGAACTCCTTGAATTTGGTCTTATCTGAGAAGCACTTTATCTGTCCTTACATTCTAAATGAAAACTTTGCTGGATAGAGCAATCTTGGTTGTAGGTCTTTGGTTTTCATGGCTTGGAATACCTCTTTCCAGCCCCTTCTTGCCTGTAAGGTCTCTTTTGAGAAATCAGCTGACAGTCTGATGGGAACTCCTTTGTAGGTGACTGTCCCCTTATCTCTTGCTGCTTCTAGGATTCTCTCCTTTATTTTAATCTTGGCTAATGTAATGATGATGTGCCTTAGTGCGTTTCTTCTTGGGTCCAACTTCTTTGGGACTCTCTGAGCTTCCTGGATTTCCTGGAAGTCTATTTCCTCTGCCAGAATGGGGAAGTTCTTCTTTATTACTTGTTCAAATAAGGTTTCCACTCGTGACTCTTCCCCTTCTGGTACCCCTATAATTCGAATGTTGGAACGTTTAAAGATGTCCTGGAGGTTTCTAAGCTTCTCCTCATTTTTTTGAATTCTTGTTTCTTCATTCTTTTCTGTTTGATCATTTTTTTCTTCCTTCTGGTCCACTCCACTGATTTGAGTCCCAATCTCCTTTCCATTACTGTTGGTTTCCTTTGTATTACCATTCATTTCAATTAGTTTAGCTTCCATATGTTTCTCTAATTTGTGACTAAAATCAACCAGTTCTGTGAGGATCCTGATAACTAGTGTTTTGAACTGTGCATCTGAAAGATTGGCTATTTCTTCATCGCTTAGATCGATTGGTTCCAGGGCTCTGAGTTGTCCTAGAGCCATTTTTGGTCTATTTGTGCCATTAAGTAAGCAGAGCGAAGCCTTAGTTGTTTACCAGGACGGGGCCACCCAGGTCGCTGGTTTGTGACGCTGTGTGTGGGGGCGTGGTCAGAGAGGGAGCAACGGCGGTCCTCTCCGCTAGCCCCGCCCGTCTAGTCCCACTGCACGCCTGGCCTGTTTATCCGATCGGAATTGTGCGAGCCTGCTGCCCCGGGCCTGCTCGCCTCTTCACTGGTTTATCCGCACGCAGATGCGTGACCGACCGCAGACAGCCCGCCCCGCCTCTTCCCTGTGTGCTCCCGTAGCTAGCCCATGATCCGTGCCTTTGGCTACTTGCGCGCCACCAGGTCAGGGATCTTTCTGGTCAACCGGCTTCACTGCTGGCTTATCTGTTTAGCCGAGCATTTCGTCCTTTTTTTTGGACTCCGTATTGTCGATTTTCTGTGTGGCTTGGTTGTGTTTTTTGTTGTTAAAAATAGTTGTTCTTAGATTTGGTTGTGCACAGAAGCAAGGTGGTTCCACCTACACCTCCATCTTGGTGGAAGTCTCCTGCTCACTACTTTAATGGCACTGAATGACACTGGACAGAACATGATAACCCCTGAGCCCCAGTTTCCTCACCTACAAAATGAGGAAAATGCCAACTGTTCTACCTCCCTGCAGCGGCTGTGCAGCGGCCCCACTAAGATATGGTAAATGAAGTTCCTTTATAAACTGTGCACTGCCACACAGACCAGGGCAATGTGATTGTAACTACCATGTAGGTAAAGTTATCCTTCATTATCTGGGCGGTAAGTCCATGGCGCAGGGATGACCAGACCCCGGGCTCTTCCCTGCTCCCCTCCTTGACTGTCAGCCATTTCATTAGCACTCAAACAGATGAAGCACGGGAAATGCCAGAAGCCAAAACTCAGAAGAGACCTAATTGGATTTTTTAAAAAATAATTGTAAGACAAGTTTGCAGGGGGAAGGGAAGAAAGCAGGGAGAACACTAGTTGAAGGAAATTAGTTGAAATGACAAACTAAAACCACAATGGGGGTTAAGGAAGTACAGCCGCACATTTTCCCTAAAAAATGACAGGTATCTTACCCTTTTAAGTAAATAGCTTTCTGTGACTCAATAGAGCTGCTCAGTAATTACTTCATAAGTAGAAAACAGAGAAAAATACCTTTTTGAAAAAGCCACTTGATTTTAAAGCAAATAAACACATTTGCCCACTAGGAAATTCAGCTTAGTCATCTCACATGCACTGTAATATCTTGTAGGTTTCCAGGGCTTCAATGACAGTTCTGCTACTTCCTCCACAACCAGCATGTCCCACCCCGCCTGCAGCCACAAACACACAAAGATATAAAGGGCAACTGATCAATCTCACCAAATAAGCCCTGCGTTTTTATGGGTGCCTATAAGAACACATCAAGGCAGATGCAGAGACAGCCTAAAAGCAGAAGTGGTGGCAGCAGTTGGGGTATTTGGGACTATTTGCCAAAGGGAACAGCATTAATAATTTGAGTTATCAGAGCATGTACGCATGTCCTCGATTAGGTAGATTTCATAAAGAAAAAATAAATGTGGGCTCCTTTCCTGGAATCCTGATAGTTAGGCCGTCATAAACACAGTGTTAACATGCTTTTACTGCCATGACACAAGCCACAGAGCCTGAAAACATCACACCAGGCCCCGAAGGGCAGCATCTGCCCCTCTGTCAGCGTCCCCCGCTCGGCTGACGCAGCGTGGCTCTGCCTCGGTGTCGGTACCCCGCATCGTACTGCATTAATAAACGCCTCTCCAAAATCATAATAAAAGAGAGGGTGACTGCAGGCCAGAGACGCAGGCGAGGACGCAGGGTCCGTGGGGGAAGTGGAAGAGCACGCGCACGGCTTAGCGCATTCTTCAGGCGATGGTCGCTGTGCACATGCTCGTGATGGATTGTTTCCTGCTGTGCCAGCCTTTTAGGGGCTACCACGCAGGCTTTTTTTTTTTAAAGAAGGAAGATCCACTTGTTAAATCAGTGATTCCTTCCCCTAACCCTGGTTTTTAATTATAAGAAGACAGAAGCATTATTTTTAGTCTGATTATATATATTTAAAGCCGGGGTTCTTTCCACCTGCAGGGGCCTCTTGACTGAGTGGGAACTAGTGAACAAGGTCTGTTTCACCTGCATCTGCTCAGAGTGGAGTCAGGGCAGGGAGAGATTACGTCTTCCTGCAGAGCACAGGTGGCAAACACAGGCCTGCAGGCCGAATCCGGGCCTCCACCTTGCTTCACCCAGCCCAGCACTTTATTTCTACCCGGCGGCAGCACTGAGCTCTCGCTTACCTGTTAAGGAGCAGTTACGTTTACACAGTCCTAACGTTACATTCGGCCCTTTGCAGGCGACTGGGGAGCTGATGTGAACCCCCGGTGAAATGAGTCTGACGCCCCTGCCATGGAATGACTGTGGCCACGGACTGGGGAACATTGTCTTGCCATGTGATGTGTGCCCGACCCTGGGCTAAGAGGCAGACTGTCAGTCCTCCGTGTATAGGGGATTCTAAAACACAACAGGCGATTTCCCAGGACGGAGAAAAATCATTTTCAGCAGAGCATTCCTCAGGGAGGGGTCTCCATGTTGTTAGAAGGAATACCTAATATCACTCCCCATATCCTGGAAGATAGTTCTAAAAGTGTAATAGCTGTGATCTAAATTACTAAACTATCTTTGAAGGAAGCTCTGACTTTTTCCCCCCTCTGTAGGGTGCAAATCCAGACTCAGAGCTGAGTTGCTGAGTTTAGCCATGCTCCAGCTCCCTTTCCAAATAAAGGCAGAACACGTGGCTTAAAGAAGAATCAAATTATTAATCAGCCCTGTAAATGACATCCCCAGGTTTGACTGTACCCACTGTACTGTATTTTTACCTTATGGAAAAGTGGCTTAAGAATACAGGCCCTTGATGCATTGCTTTCTGTTCGTTAAACTAGCTGTTGAGCACCAGTGCTGTGTGCCCCTAGATTAACACAATGATACTAATCACCTTCTGTGAGCCAAATAAAAGAGTCAGAGTGGATTCAATGGATTTAACAGAAAAAGACCGAGGATGTGATCCTGGGCTACTAGAAATTCTGTCTCAGGTGTCCGGTCTGCACGGTAGAGAATATGCAGACTGTGGGATGCATTCCATGACAGGACAGCTCTCAAGGTGCAGAGTAGCGCTGGCCCTCCATAGTGCTAGATTTTACAATAAGAATTAATTAAGCAGTAAACCGTGACAGGACATGCATCATGGTATCATAATCACAAGCCTCAGCTGCATTACAAGGCAAAAGGCCAAAGCCGAAGAGCTTTCAAGCAGCCTGGGAATGCAATTAGGGGGTGAAACGCTGTGTGCCCTTGAGTGCCTTTATGCCAGGTTAAAAATTCATAAAGATCACTCTCTCCCTCTAGAACACTAAAATAATCCACTTCGATGGAAGTCTCAAGTTAAGCCATCTACCCTCAGAACTCCTTCAAAGGTCAAAATAAAGGACAATATAAAGTTGGGAATGTCAACGACACCCCAAGGTAAGACTGTGCCCAATGGCCTAGTACTGTTGGCTGGGCTTCCTTTGTGGAGGTGTCCCAACACTGTCCAAACATCTGTCTTCCCCCTCCTGCCAGACTCACTATTTGGGCCCAGCTTGTACGTTAATAGCTTCATCGGACAATTGCTCCACAGTGGTTCAGAGACGGCATTTGGGAGGGGAAAGGAGGGGGAGGTCAGCTAATAAAGTTACTGTCACCGTTCAGTCAATTAGCCCCAAATAATTGGTAAATGGCAGGCTGAACAATTTTGAGTTCTGCAGAAGAAAGCTGAAGAAAAATATTAGCAGAGTCTCAGGGTAAGCTACTCAAATCCTGTTCCCTTACCCATTACTCACTTAAATGGAACTGCAACTTAGACCTAATTAAGAACCATAGGTCTGTAGTCTTTTGTCCAAATCTGAAACTCTAGAATAGTTAAAAAGCTTATCAGACCAATCAGGAAACTTGGCAAGCCCAAGAGTGTGTATTTATAGATTTAAGCAAAAATGTACACAGAATATAAATGTTACCATCAGCCATTAAACATTAAAAAACCACACGTGTGCATACACACAGCTGGGGTAGATTAAGTACGAACTTCAAGTCATTTGAAAGTGGTAAAAAAAATATTAACAGTGAAATAATCTACAAACCTATGCTGGAATTTATAATACAGCCTTCCCTTTGGGTGTTAAAGAAAAAATATTTTATCAATAGCCACCGTTAATGCAATGGATGCACGTAACTGTATGAAAGCTAAAAACCACCACTCTTATCTTCTCAAAACATCAAATTGTACTAATAGAAGTTTCCCTACTCTACAGTATTCCACAGTTGAGTTCATAATAATAGAGTGTATGTTGTACAAGATAAGAGAAATGAGGGAAATATTTATTTTCCTTAAAACGTAATTGGCAAAAGGTTACTAAATTGAATTACAAATGTTTACAACACTTGACTGAAATTCTTATCACTGTTTTCCCACGAAACCAGAAGCCTGGCCCCAAAGGTTTCTGCATTTCTACTATCCCCTCCCTCAGCCCATATCCCAGCATCAGCCAGCTGAGCGATCAGTCTATTCCAGCACCATCACCTCTACGGGTGCCCGTGGCACCAGGGAAGGGAGATAATCACCGCCAAGCTCCAAAGCAGACTTCCAGGTAGCCTGCGAAGTGAGCATACTCCCAAAATACAGTTGACCCTTGAATAGCACAGAGGTTAGGGGTTGCCACCCCACCCCCGCACAGCTGAATATCCACGCAGAATTTTTGACTCCCCCAAACTTAACTACGGTCCCTCGGTATCTGCAGGATGTTGGTTCCAGGACCCAATGTGGACAGCCAAACCCTCAGATGCTCAAGTTCCTTATATAAAATGGTGGAGAACAGTGCGTTCTGTCCACCTTCTGCATACCCAGATTCCCAACTGCAGGTCAAAAATACTATTTTTGATCCACAGCTGGTTGATATGAAGGGCCGACCGTATTTTTCAGTATTTATTGAAAAAAATCTGCATATAAGTAAACCAGTGCAATTCAAACCCATGTTGCTCTAGGGTCAACGGTACTTCTGCAGGTGGCACTGGCCAGGTTCTGGCGGTGTGTGGTTGCTGTGGTCTCCTGGTGCTATCACACTGCCCCAGGACAAACCGGGCCTTCAGGCTTTTGGAAAGGGTTGTGCTAAAAAGCGTTTCTCACCTGCTGCAGAATGTGCCTTTCCCTCAAGGTCATTAACCTTCTGTGAAGCTCTACCAGTTCATCTAGGTACGCCTGAAAGAGAAGAGTATCCCCAAAGAACAAGCATGTTAGGAAGCAGTTCAAAAATACGGGACGAAATAAATAAGAACATATAAGCAGGGACTGGAGATCCCTCATACTGGTACCACAAGCAGGCCGTGTGGACTCTGTGCCCAAGGCCTTTGAAGATCAAGCCTGTCTTGGCCAACGATTACCTTTTCCAAGCCAGCTTTTTTAAAAGGAGCAATTCTTGCACTTACTTTTTCTCAACAAGATTCAAGTGAGCCTCACTACTCCCAACAACGCCTCTAGAGAGAAGGGGAGCTCAATGATAAATTGAGAGGTATTGAAGTCTACTTTAATTTTTTTTAATTCACCTGTCTTAGAATCTTTTTAACTAAGAGAAAAAGTCTAAGTTTGAGCATGGAAGAACCCATGCACATTACCATTTATTTCAGGGAAAATTCTTAAAAATAAAAATAAAAAAGCCTTCCCTGTTATCAAACATGTCTAACATTGCTAGCAAACAGCAAGTGAAAGAACAGAGGACTGTCTCTCGAGAAATAGAGATTGCTATCCAAATTAGCATGTGGCTTGTTAAGATCTCCCCGGAAAAGGCAGAGGTGACCTCTCCTTCCACATGCTCAGACCCACGAGTCTTTGTTAGCATAGCTGCATGGGTATTCCCACCACTGTTTGCAATGAAGGCGAACGAGAGGTCTGTGAAGCATTAGCCAGGCCTGTCCTGACCTTGCAAAGCCCGTCAGGACACTGCCCACACCAGGAGACTAACCCCCAACAGGTCTTGCCGTCCGATTTCAGGTGAACGAATGATGCCCACTTGGGCAAAGCACAGTGCACTGGGGTCAGATGCCCTGCTCACTTACATCTGACACTTCTTCACCCTCTAACTCCACCACAAGTCCTTACCTCCCAATTTAATGTGCCTGAAATCCCTGGGCAATGTAGGCACCAGGGCAAATGATAGCATAAGGCCAACCTTAATACTGGAGAGATAAGGGAGACTTGGAAAATAAACTACTCTTGGGCACTTCTGATGAAAACAATGAAAGAAGAACCAGCCAGGATGATCAAGAGAATCATAAAGGAACAGGACATGTCAGTGCTGCAGCATCAGAGTAAAGGACTGGGAACCTACCTTGTCACATTCACCATTCTTTATTTGCTTATCTGATTTGCTTTGCTTTATTGGACTTTTCACTTCAAGAATCTAGGGACCCAAGAGAAAGAACACTGTCAAATTTGATTTCAAGCACTTCTCAGCTAGCCAGCCACCTAAACAAAGGCACTTATGGATGAAATGTCATATGATAACATCGCTTTCCAAATAGGTTTCTCCTCTATACATGTTCTTTCTTCTCTTCCAATCTCTTTCTTAGAAAATAAATTACTTAGATCTAAAATGCTGACTCAGAGCAATAGAAAAGTTTTTAAAAGTGGACAATATGGAAATGGATCTAAGCTTCCAAGGCTGCTGGTTCTTTGTGACAATTCTCTCACACATACATACAGCTGCTCAGTTAACCTGGATTATAGATCCCTTGGGCAAGAACTGTCTCTGAATCACCCTGCTGTTTCAGCTACCAGTACTCAGTACACTAGAGATGATAAGACAAAATTTCAAATGCCCATCTTAGTGCCTGACTTTCAGATTCTAAAAATTACTCAAATCTCCTAACTTGATGCAGCTCTGGAAATAAAGGATGGCCACCAGTGACCCTAGTTGTTCCCAAGTTGGGCTCCTCCAAGTCAAGGAATAAAAAGTCAGGACTGTCTTCTGTGTTTCCAGAAACGCTGTCTTTACCCAGGATAAAACGCCAGGTGCCTCTCCTTTCAGCTGAACTGATTACAGCTCAGGTTATGAGCAGTAGTTCTGCATACTACTCAGAAGCTTCCCCAGGGAGCTAGATTTCTAATTAATAAAAACAAAAACCATATTATTACTTAATAAATACAGTTGATTTAATAGAACCTGCAAAATTGAAGATTATGAGAAAAGTATTTTTAAATAGCCCTTGCTTAAAATGACTGAAAACCACTGAATTTATTGTTGAGTATTTACAAATGTATATAAACATAAGTAATTTATCTTTTTCATTATTACCTTATTATTGAGTTGTTATAATATGATAAGCTGTTATAATATTAAGGTCAAAAATGCCAAATAAAGCATATTTAAGTAGTCTCATATTTCTACTGTTCTTCTCTTTATCCATTCTTTGTTCTAACACACACACACACACACACACACACACACACACACACACACACAATCACAGGCAAGTCACAGTTGTGTTCCAAGGTCTACAATATTCCATATCACAAAGAAGATTTTAAAAATGAGTCCACTTTTAATTTGTAGTGTAACGATCCCTGATTATGCTCAGAAACCTAGGTGTTCAGGTCCTAACCACACCATTTAATATTTTGGGGCCTCAAAAAACAAGATCAAGTGAGAGAGATTAACAAGATAATGTCCAGATACTTAGCTGCAGAATTTTATACTACTGAACATTTTACCTTTTGAGGATAGGACCATGACATTCAAGAAGAGACCAGATAGTTCTAAAGGGTATATGTCTCCTTTGACTTTGGAATGCATGGGTAAGAAGTAAGCTTCTTGCTAAGTCTTTCCTAAGAATTACCTTTATTCATTTCTAACATTAAGATAAACCAGATGACCACTTTGACCAGGCTAACTTAAAACACTCTACTTTTGGAAAAACAAGGAAATCACTTAGTGGCAGAAGGTAATCATTTTTTTTAAAAACATGGCCCACTGTGAGCAAAACCAAACACTGCACTACATTCAGAATTTCCTTCTCTGTATTCTTGCTGGAAATGAGACCTCAAGGGAAAACTCCACACTCAGAGACCTAGGAGGAAGTAGGTCAGTAGATGGCACTCCTCGCCAACTCAGATACAGGGCTGGGCGAGGAGCAAAGACAATCTGCTGAGATTTCAGGCGAGAGGAACCGGGCCTGCCTGACTGCCTCGTGCATTAGAAAACTGAATTTCCCCATGTCCCACCCAGCCCCCACCCTGCCCCCGCCTTCATCCCCAACTTACTGCACTCAAGGGGTCAAAGTGACTGAGAAACTATATATTTGCAATGGAATTTTGCTAACGAAGCTTAGAGAGGTCTACCACCTTCCCTTCAAAGCAAAAAATAGAACATTGTGCGGCGCTTAAGTCCCACCCTACACATTCCGTAAGTGCTGCAGCGCAGAAGGCCAAACTACATTGAAATCCTAGTTTCTTTCTTCTGAAGCTGTGGTGGCAGAAACAAAAGCTCCGGGTGTCAGTGATCCGCCTCAAGTTACTGAGTGGCTACCCAGAGAGGGCTCAGTTAATCTTCCTCCTTTGATCTCGCCCTGCTCCAAAATAAACAGCTTTGTCAAAACCTCATTCTGAGAGAGCTGAGCCATGCAGTAGACAATTGTTTTATTTATGATCATTTCTTATCTTTGAGGAAACGACACCAGAATATAAAAGTACAGCACCTTGTCTTCCAAGGGCTTATTTCAAACCAGTTTAACTGGATAGTCTTTAATTTCATTCAATGTCCCTTGCAGGCTGATCGGTGATTTATGATTTTCTGAATATTAACTCAGGTCCAATGGATTACTTCCTTCCTTCAAGGCCCCTCTCTCCTCCTGCCCATCCATACCCTCAACCAAAAAGGATCGGAAATTTTGATTTTGTTTGAAATTCGCATAAGGTTCAAAGTTAAAAAAATCTCTAAGTAAAAAACAGCACAGCATTAACTGTGATTCCTTGTTATGTTGTATGTGCTCAGGGAAACAGCCCCAGGCCTGCAGAGACACACCGTTTGCACACGTGGCAAGCTCTGAAAATAGAACGCGATGAGCTGCACTTCTATCCCTAATCTGAGAGAACAGACCGAGAACTAAAATTTCAAGATTATTATGTGTCTATATCCCCCTCTTTGTGAGGACTGACAACTCAATTATTCAGCAGATGGATTCTCCACTGATAGGTCTTTCATGTTAATGATCACTAGTTGTTCCTAACAATACTCAGGTTAATTACTTCCTTTGTTGACGTGTGGCTGTCTCTCCAGTTCACTTTTTTGTTTTTCAACAGTTAGAAAATATTTGACTCAATTAGCACTTTCCCTCTTCCCTAGTCTCTGGAAGATTTGAGAAAAGGTTAAGGAAAACTCAGCTTTGCCTGCCGGTTTACAGAAACCTGAGATATCATTATTGACTTGCAGACAGAACAGCGAAGGGGTAAGGAAGAAGGAAACTCAGAGTCTTCCTGTTTCACTTAAGTCTCCCCAGTATGTTTTCGTCTATTTTATCTGATGTGAAACTTCAGTTAATCACACACCCGCATTCAAATATAAGGCTAAAAATACATTCCGGGGTGAAATTTATGGACTTGAGATTTTTAAGAATTTTTTTTTTACTATTTCATTCATCAGCATGAAGAACTAAGGAAGAGGAATAAGGGAACTAGAAAGTTTTTAAGGCCTAAGGACACTGACTTAAAGGCCCAGCATCACGCCTCACCCAAACCAGGTGGTCTGAGAGGCTGGGAAGACAATACTATACCAAGTTTCAAAACCCCTTTCCTGCTCTCAGTTCCGAGACACAGCTCCAAGGGAGGCACCCCTGTGATACCCGCGTTTGCTAACCTCGACTAGCTAAAAGTGAAAGCATATGGGCTTTCTTATTATGCTTATAGGTGCATGGAGAGAGTGACATATAACTGAGTATTCCTGACAGATTGATGATTCACATGTGTGAAGCTACATTTGTTGAATAAACATATGCCAAGGAACCAGTGGTATGCTATTTCGTAGGATAAAGTAATTTTTACCCTCCCCAGATAAATGGTTGTATTCATTTTTGGTCTTGTTTTGGTAGGCAGGTTAAAAAAAAAAAAACCCAGAGGAAGTCTGACAAAGAATTCAGACCTTTCCTGAAGCCAGGCTCAGCTCAAGACTGCTCATCCAGGCAGGCTGCAGGGACAGCTATTAGGTTTGCAAGGCAAGAGAGGGGCTTGTAGGAGCTGCACTGACTTAGCAAGCACAGCCTTAAGCCTGACTGGGAAAGGTGCTGAAGGAGCCTTGCGAGGGGCAGGAAAACACAGCCTAATGCCCTTCACTCCTGGCACTGCTGCCGCTGCCTGAAAAACAGCCTAATTCTACTACACCACGCACTGGAAGCCAAATAAGTTTAAACTGCATATAAAAATACAGTCAAGGTCCAAATTCTACTCTTTTGCCAGTTCACACTGAAGCACAAATTATTCCAAGTCATCCAGTTGGCCAGCTCAGGGCTCTTCTCTACTGGTAGATGATGATGGTTAGGCCCTGAGCCTTCACTCTCCCCTGAAACACTCCACTTGTGGTGCTGGACAGCCATGCCAGAGGTGAAAGCTGGCTGGGTGGCTGGGCCCCGGGCACAGCTGGTACTGGAGACGGGGAAATGCATAAACTACAGGGAGATAGCGTAAACAATAACAATGCACTAACTCCTTGAACAGCCAGTCTGGAACAGATGATGAGGTTGGACTGGCTGGCACTCATATGCAGGATGCAGAGAAACAGCAGTGGAATTCATTGTTGAGATAAAGAACACTGATATTACTCCTACTTAACAATAAAGACTCTAAGATGTAGATAAACACTATAAATGAAGAAGTTTAAGTTTTAGGAGATCTTTGCTTATCCTTTACACAAAATTTAAGAAGAAAAAGTCTCCAGCTAGAAAAATCACATTTTGCTAGTAAAACAAAGATCACAAATTCAAGGGCAAGTCCATTTAGAATTGTAGGACACCTGTGAAATGGGATAATTTTAGAAAAACCCAGTTCTTTATTTTCAAATTAATAATATTCACATGGTAACTTGAATTAAGCAATTATTGTAGAGGTCATCAAGAATCAGTCTAAACAAAGAGACAAGAATAAGCTTCAGTAATGAGTAACCACTCAATACATAACGAGGCCTTTACGCTATTCATGATATATGAAAATAGTTTATTTTAGTAACTATTTAAAATATCCCAATCTTAATCATTTAACAAAAGCTCTTCACTATAGCTTTCAAAAGCTTTCAAAGTTCCGCCTAGACCTTATCTAAACAACTACATTCTGAGTTGACTATCAAATTAATAATTTTTCCTTTAGTTTGACTGTAACAACAATGATAATGGCCACTGTTTACTCTGAATTTTATTAACAATTCCCTACATTCCCAAGTGCTGATCCTCTTTTCCCGAATAAGCACACAGAAGCAGAGCACCTATGATAATAAACTTCTGCCACCAACTGAAGGCCAGGTGGGTGTGGGCACTGCCCCATGCTTTCCACATGTATTATTTATCATCTTCCTAAGAACCAGCAAGGCAGTTATTAACATCCTACAGATGAGGAAAGTGAGGATCAGAATTTCAAGTTAATTATCGACAAGTAAATGACTGTCTATTAGTAAAAGCAAATAAACAGGCTTTATACTAGCCTAAAAGGTCTTGTCTTTTTCATTCATTAAATCACCTACTTACTGCCGAGGGGAAAAATAGAAATCACGAGTAAATGGGCAACACTTTTCGGCACCATCCCTTCTTGCATCAATTTTTAATTACCCCATCATTAAAACACACTTTTCATGACAACAGAACTCAACTATCTGTTTATTTCTAAGGTTGTATATGCCCATTTATTTGATATAAAGTTTCAAGTAAAGGGGTAAAAAGTTTTGTGTGCTTTGTTAAACGACCACATGTAGTTTTGCAGTACCTCGAACAGGGCAACCCCAGTGATTTACCTGGTTGTTGTTGGTTTTTAATAAGGGTGGCGGGGGTTCGTGATGTAGTGGGGAAGAAGCAGAACTGCTTTCACTGTCACTGCCATCACTTAAGCTAACTCTGAAAAGAAACACAGAGAAGTCATTTGCATCATTACAGACAATTCTAACAACTACGGAAACAGGAGCAGGTAGTGAAGTATCTAAACACTCTAAGCATTAAAACTTGCTTTAATTTATACAACCATTAACACATGTTGACACTTACTTTGTACCTGGAACTGTGTTGTGTTACCTACTATTTCTCGTTCAATGATCTCTGTTTCACAGGTGAGGAAACTGAGACTAGGAGAGACTAGGTCACTCACCTAGGGTCACAGAAGTAAAAGTGGTTCTTCTAGGATTCAAACCCAAGCAATGTAACCCAACGCTGGTGCTCAGCCACTGAATTCAGTGGCCTCATTTAGTCATTTATCTCCCTGCTCCAGTTCCACCCACATACTATATCATCAAGCATGTCACCCAAGCCTGCAGAAGGTCAAATAAATTAGTTTGTAAGTTACTACCTTTTTTAGCCTTTCCCCCTGCCTCTTTGGTACAGGTGAAAATTTTACCAATACGACTAACATACAGGCTTCAAGAGTGGGAGCAACTGCTAAGAAGAATGTGGACAATAGCCTCACAGGACTGGCAGCTCAGGGGCATTTGAGGATGGGACGCGTGAAGCTCCCCATGCTGGACTCTCCACCAACAATTTCTACTGTGTAACCAACGAGTCACAGCTGTCCTGAAGTCCGGACACTTATACGATTCGTTGGGAACATATCACAAGTTAGAAAAACACAGTGATGTCTTTCAACAATTAAAGACAATAAAAATATCATCCTCTCCCTTATTTCTTTCTTTTCAGAACAAAATAAAATTTTCTCCTAGCCAAAGTAGGAGATATTTCTTTATTCTACTCGGCTGAGTGTACGTCCTCCTTCAGAAATGTCCTTCAGTGTTTGCTTCTTATCTTTGGTTATGTACTAACCTAACGCAATATTCTTCTCAGAAAGGAAAACGCTTGAGAAATCCAGATAGTTTTTCTCTTGCTCTGAATAGGCAATCACATTCTAGCTCTATAATATATTCAGATAGACAGGATACAAGACAGAAAATGAAGGCTACACTGGGACATCCTTCTAGCAAAAACGGATAGAACCTGTTTTTCTTAACTAAATTACATTAATGAAGTGTTCAGTGGAAGCGCTGCTTTAAAATGCTTCTTGACTGAAGTGGAAGGCTGAGTATTTAAACTGATTAAACAGTTGAGACTTCACAAGTGCACTGAGGATCAGATGTTACGCTGGCAGTGCCGCGCTGACAGCCCAAGTCAGGGCAAGGGAAAAGCATCCCCAGCAATGTGTCCCACATCGCCCAAGTCACAGACGTGTGCTGTCTGACCCACACTCACTCGGGGGCGGGGACAGGAGGCGGGTGGGCAACAGCTAATCAGAATACCTAGATCTTCGACATAATGGTAACTTGGGTAGTTGTCTAAACAGGCCATTCATTTTCCGTCAGCTAAAACTGAGAGCCGGCAGTGGTGAGAATTTTGGTTGTTATAAATACGCTCCTCCCCTCCAAGTTTCGGTCCCCTCTTAAGGTCTTTTTGCCTTATAAGTTTCCTTCTTGTCAGATTAAAGACTTCTAAAGGGAAATGTTATAAGGCCACAGCCATAAGGTTCCTTATTTTCTCCTATTTAAAACAAATAGAGACAGGTGAGTTTGGGAGACGAGGAGGAGGAAGAGGTGTTCAGTGCAGCCATGAGGAGAAACTGAGAGTGTGGACAGGAGACAGACCCCGAGGGGCCTCTCCCAAAAGGACGCCCCGAAATGACCACTGAGGAAACATGGCCTGTCCAGTTTCCACACCTGTTTGGTTCAGACCACACCCCTGTTAGGAATTTTAGGGCCTTTGGAATCATACTGAATAATTGGAAAAGATTGACTGCATTATATTATAAGTGTAATTGGATTTTAAGTTCAAGTAGATTCATATTTTTTCTACTCAAAACACATTAAAGTAAGCCTGTTTGTTTTCCTCATGATACAGAAATAAAATCCTCAAGGCAATTTCAAGCTGACTATTAATTATAAGTGACATGAATTACCATCTTATAATGTGGAATTATGCCTCACAGCATTGAAGCTACTTAAGGAAACTAATTGTCAGTGCACTTAAAAGGAATTTATTTTCTGGAAAACACACAGGTGATCCTAGCTTTAATTAGGTCACACACATAATTCACTGAAGCCAATTACGTATTTCTAACTACAAACAGCAAACATTTCCTCAAATTCTAAGACTACCTACGGCAATGGAGCCACACAAACCCTTCAAATGAAAACAGAGTCTATTTCAGCAATCGGGCCTGTCACCTTGGCAGACACTTTCGAGAACGAGGACTTCTAACAGCACTTTTTCCTATGAAAAAAACACAACCTCTCCTTTCTGATAAAAAGGATAAACATAGTTCTCTGTAGAGGCAAGCGCAAGCATGCCAAGGTGCCCCAACCGCAAAGGAACATGACCATGGACCCCCGCTGTTTTGGTGTTTCACACCCTGTCTGTGGTGGTGCTGGTAGGTCTAGGAAAAGGCACGATTCTATCACAGGGAACCCTTTCCTTCCAAGACACTCACCTGCGACTTCGGCTGCCTGCTCTATTTACAGGTCTCTCCATTTCAGAGTCATTGTCATTATCCTCTGCCTCATCTGATTCTTCCTCATTGTCATCGGAATGCAGGTCTTTCATTATGGACCTTAACGGACCTGAGTAATGACAGTGAACCACAGCCAATCAAACACCCTACTTCAAACACACTTAGCTGTATTAGACACGGGGAAATGTGCACAGCTAGTGCGGCACACTGGTTAAAAATAACCATCACCACATATATTTATACAATTTACAAGACCAATTTGATAATTCCCGGAATGAAACCTCCAATAAAACATTACTGTTTTCATATTAGATGCTCCAAAATCTTTACTAGAAAAAGTGTTTTCTAGGAAATTTTTCTACGCATTTTTCTTCCCTAAAATAAAAAATGACTCCTAAAAAGAAACAGAAAGATCTATTAGTAAATTGGATGTTTTGTCAGGTTAATCCATGTATTGAAAAGTTGAGACTAATAAATCACTGTGGTTGTAACTTGTTCTTGGCAATGCAGCCTTTGTGTGGTAGTTTTTGATCTATTAAGGTTTAGCTGTTCCTTTTATTTCAAGGTCAATTTCAGGTCAAGCAAGCATTTCAGTCAAGTTCAGATTATAAAGTATTTCAATTCCAGGGTATAATGTCCTATCTCTGATCCTCATATTGATCTTGGACACAACATCTAGTTATAACAGTTTTATGCAGCCAATTTTTAATTTAACTTTTAAAGAAATTCCTGGCAAAATACCAGCATATATTTGCATAAATAAGACCATGCAATAAATCAGGTGCCCAGAAAATTCAAGAGAGTATCCAGTATTAGACGGAAGAAAACAATCAAGTCATAACTAATTTTATTCTAGAACAGGACAAAACTGAAAAAAAAAAAAAAAAAAGAAAAGAAACCCACAGAAAAACTCATTAGTGTGGCTTATTTTTAGTTTACTACCCTAAATGTAATGAAAACAAGATAGGTCATTTTAATCTCAACTGAAGAGACTGTAAAAACAACCAAGAAAGTGTGAGAGGCACTTTCATTCTGGAGTGGGCAAGTCCTGAGTCTAATGCAGTAGGAATATCTGCGCTGTCACTGACTGAGTTCTAACATCAGTGCTTACTCTACAGTCTCACATTCTTCAAAGCCCAGATTTCTCTGCTTCTGTCCTGGGCTGATACTTTGGGGAGTCAGTGCAGCAAGAACTCCGGATTAGACCCAATAATTGGTGCTTTTTATGTTCTTCCTGGAAGTTCAGCCTTAGCTGAAACACACACAACAATTTAATCCTTTTCAAAACACACACGGCTTTAAGGAATTCAGTGTGGTCAGTGAAAAAGGTAACGTGCCATATAATGCTGAAAATTATTCCTTAATATCGCTTTACTTTTCATGTTTGAATTTTTTAAAAAGGGCCCTATGATTGAACATTTTCCACACACGAAAGTGGAAAATGTATTTAGTTAATGTTCTGGTTTACATCTTTTAAATTTTTCTTAAAATTTAAATTTCCGAGTTTGCATAGCAAAAAGTATATATAAATATATATTTTACAGATGACAAATTAATACTTGCCAAAAAAAAAAGGCTTATTAAGCTATAGAAAAATAAATAAAATGAAAGATATTCAGGAGGGAGAGTAAAAACCTCTTTTTCTATGTCAAAGCCTCTCAAGTCTAGCTTTTGCTATTGTATTTCCTTTGGGAACTCCCTGGAATAGGCTGTGTCTATAATCCTTTTGTAAAATGGGACTCTGATGGCAGCGACTGGAAAAAGAGGGATTTCTAGAGGCTGGCCTCATACATCAGAACAATACTCAAGTGCATTCCTAAGGGAAATAAATACAACTACATAAAAGCCAAGTTATCATTCAAATAATAAAAAAGTAGAAAATAGGCCATAAACCAACTCATTAAGATGTTTTATGAGAAAAATGCCTCCTAGTTTGCCTGGGAGATGTTGATACCTTGTTGCCTCGTCTGGGATGGTGTGAAGCTGGAGCTGGAGCTGGAACTGGAGCTGGCAGGGCTGGGTTGTTCAGACTTTAAAGAAGAGAAAGGCGGCGTCAGTATATTTATGGGACACTGCACATCTAGAATTAAAAGCAATATTGTTGCTCAAGAATATTTCGCTCTGCAAAAGCAGCCTGACACTGTGCAAGAAAAGTGACAACACATTGCATTATGTGAAATGCGCTAACAGTGGAGAGTCAGGGGGTTCTCATTTTGTCTACCATAGTTTTACTAGATGCAGAAACAAGAATATAAACTCAAGGATAAAAAGATAAATGCCTGAGTGTTACATGAAGAAAGAATCTGGCTTTGATTTCACTCCTATGTTTACTACTCTCCAGATCTCTTTCTAAAAGATACCTTGATCGCCCTTTCTGCAATGTTTGATTGACTCAGCTGGTCAGAACATAGTGGTAATGAGGCCAAGGTCATTAGTTCAATCACATTATGAGCCAGTTAATTTCACTCCGGTCCAAGGCCATGACCCAACCCTAACCCCATTCATCCACAGTTCACAAACAGAGGCCAGTGTTCACAAGCCTAGCCAAGGCCCACAGATGAGTTGGGGGGAAATGTTGCCACTCCTTTAAAACACAACAAAACAAAAAAACCTTTAATTCCACACAGCCTATTAATGCAAGGAAAGCGCATCATACACACACCCAATTCCCCTACTCTCAGTGAATTCTCCTTATCCTTTAATATCCAGAACAAGTGCCACATCCTCCTTGACCCACACAACTAACACACAGTTTCCTTCCTTCTCCAACACCGCTGAAAATATAGATCATCTCTGCTTACCAGACATGCTACAGTATTATGCTACTTCAGTTGTGTGTCATTTCTCTCCAGTAGACTCCCAGCACTGGAAAAATTAGGGTTTGGAAATCTGTCCTGTGCTTCTTGTTAGCTCCTCGTATTTAGCATAGCATGTAACATGCAGAAGGCGCTCTGTATCTGTGACTGAAGGCAGCACGTTAGGCCCTCTGTTCCACCGTCTGCCAGTTTTTGAGACTTTATAGTAGGTAAAGATGGGACGAGCAAACACATGTTCAGAATTATGCAAAGAAATTGATCATACTATCAACCACTTTAAATTTATGTATTTAAGGCCAAATTTATTTTAAAATAACTTAAGGCTCATAAATTTGGTTTTAAGTGTGGGCTATTTCTATCCAATTTCTAATGTGCTCATAGTCTCAACTACCTACTCGGGTTATTTAAGAAATATTTGAGGCCCTGACCAGTGTGACTCAGTTGGTTGGGCATTATCCCCCAAAGCAAAAGGTCACCAGTTTGATTCCTGGTCAGGGCACATGTCTGGTCAGTGCACTTGTGAGAGGTAACCAATTGATGTTTTTCTCCCACATCAATGTTTTTCTCCCTCCCTCTCTTCCAGGAAGGAAGGAAGGAAGGGAGGGAGGGAGCAAGGGAGGAAGGAAGGGAGGGAGGAAGGAAGGAAGGAAGGAAGGAACGAAGGAAGGAAGGAAGGAAGGAAGGGGAGATTTGAGACCTTCTCCTGTACAGGATACATCTCATCTTTTCCTTTCTACTTTGCTCACTAGGTGATCAAGTTTATCAGGGCCGCGTGGAAGACAAACGAAGTGTACAATCAGAAGCCACTAAATGAGGATGAAAATCTCAGTTCTGTTTATAGTACAGTTTCTCACCACTGATTTTTCCCCCTCTATCCTCCTAGCACTAAACCCCCACCTCCTTTTCTCCGAACGACACCAACCTCCACAGACTGAGACACAAGGAAGCACTTTCAGGCATTCCAAATGCACACTTCACATCCTCAGGCTGGATGGGAAAACAGGTGTCAGCAATCTACCACTCATTCTGCAGGAAAAGAGCCAGACAGGATCTCTAATGAGCAGCAGGCGGCCCACCAACCCTTCACCACTGTGAGATTTACTTGATATTTGCAGTACAATGTCCTACACATTGCTGTTTGTGGTCCACAAAGAAGAGCTGGTTTACAAGTACAGCCGCCTGTGTGAGGTACTCTTCATTTCTGTTGAGTGGCTCTTCCACTGTGAGGCAAAACGGTGAGTTGCACAACTGAAAGGGCATTCAGTTAGCATTTATGTGCAATGCCCAGCTGCAAAACATTTCTCCCGTGGTCTGCACAGTACTCCTTTTCCTCTCCAAGTTGCTCTTTTCAGCCATGAAAAGTGTCTGCAAACGGTATTATTTTGATAGCTCTGGAAACCATCTGGGAGCAAGAAAGAGGTTTCCTTAGAGTGAGTGGAGAGACTTCTAATTCCCAATCCTGCCTGACCAGTACACACTGCACTGGACTTAAAGGAGCCATTCTGCCAGAGCTGTTTGTTAGGAGTGACATTAATTAGGATAGCAAGAGAGGATGGTGGCCATCTCTCCAACTACTCCACACTAAAGTCGAACCATCTGTCGCAAGCATCATGCCAATGCCAAAACCAAACCTGCAGGCAGACTTCTTTTAGCTTCTTAGCCGTCAACAAGGTTAATAATTTCACAGTTGCTAACCATTAGAAAACTGACAGAGTAAAAAACATAATACGACAGGAGAAAAAGGCATTTTACTCAACATTTATCATTAACACTCTGTCTCATCCACAAAGCATTTGAGGAGGTTTACAGTAGAACACACATTAAACAATGAGACTATTGAAGTAGAAAGCTTAATGCAACAGAAGTGGATAAAGATAAAATGTTGAATGGTGAGTAGCAAATGTCCTGGAAGCTTTTTGCAACCAAGATAAGGACTTGTGAAATTTTGGAGCTGAGGAGACCTTTGATGGAAGAAGTGATTCTCACTTTCATGGGCACTGGAATCACCTTGGAAGACTTGTTACAAAGATGGCTGAGCCCCATCCCCGAGATTCTGATGTAAAAGTCTGGGGTAGGGATGAGGGTCTGGGGTTTTCACAGGTTCCCAGGTGATGCTGATGCTGCTGATCTGCAGGCCAACCAAACTTTAGAGAATGCTGATCAAGGACCCAGACAGTACAGCCAGGGTTAGGTGTCAGAACCAGCCGGAGGGATTCTACACATGAAGAGATTGATTCAATCGGTTTGGTGTGGGAGTCCAGGCAAGCTTCTATTTTAAAAGCTCAACAAATGATATCAATGGAAATTCCAGGTTGAAAAGCACCAATACTCGGTCAATCACTTCTTTTTTTCTAAATGCAAAAAAATGTTTTTAAATGAATCTTAAATTTAATACAGCATAAGAGGAAAAAGAGCATCATGAGAAAAATGGGAAACTTACCGATTTATGCAGAGATAGCATTTCTGCATATTTTTCAAAGCATTTTGCAAAAAGCACCCTGACAGAACATGGCTGCCTTCAATAAAAACATTTACAAAATACGTACAATTGTGTCATGGTGACTAGATTTCAAACTAACCTAAAAGACCAAGCTACACTTCCACTAAGGTTAACTGCTCAAAAGGCCCTTCTGCTACTAGATGAGGTTGACACAGTCTTCCATTTGATCAGCCCAACAAAACAGAGCTCCAGTTCACTTTAAGTGAAGTCTGCATTTTATTTTGTAAAAAGTCAGATTTACGCTCCCAAAACACAAAATCATGAATGATTATACAAGTTAGAAAGTTACTTGCTTTAAAAAGTATTCACATAAACAGGGCTAGATTAAGATCTTTACAGGCCTCAAGATTAAGTAGATTATGGTACCCTCTTTTCCTTCCATGTATATGTGCCAAAACCTAAGTGTAGGGAATTTCAATGATGTTCTAATTTTTCCCCTTACTAACTTGATACTTGCTTTTGAAATATCAAAATTCTTACCACTAAAAAAGTTTTGTATCTTCTTGCTGATGCCATAAAGCACACACCTAGCTGACCTACTGAGTAGTTAAACACTAGACATGAAGTTTCTTTAAATGCTGTGCTCCAGTGACAAAAATATAGGATTAAGAATCTCAAATTTTATTGCTTGTTAGTAACTTTTTGGGAAGACTACCTAAGCATCAGTTTCCTCACAGAGTGAGAACACTGAACCTACTGTAGAAGTATTAAATTCACACAAAAAAGTAAAAATCCTAGCCCACTGCTGTTACAATAGCTAATCAACATTTGCTCGCTGCTATTATTTATAATAGATTAAATTCCTCTTGGCCTAAAACAAGATATATCTTTACTACCAAAACAATGGGCCTACCGAGATTTGCAATGAAATTAAGTGGCTATGCAAAAGCATTTCGTAATGGATTTTCTATGGAGGATTACTTTTGTCCAAGACAAGTAAGAAAAACCACGTGTTTACAACTCCTAGAAGTCAAGTGCTTCAAATGAGAACACCTGTCAAGGTAGGTCACAAGAGAAGGCTTGTAAAATCTGGCATTGGTCTTACACTGGAAGCAGACTTCCTCCTTAGGTTACCAGAAGACAGAAGTTGTTTCATCTTTTCCAATAAGCAACTATATTTATGAACAGCATTTCAACTTGATCTTTAAAACAATCAAAATGAAAAGGGGAGAGAATAATTTATACCTTTCATCAGGGGAAAGAGGAGAATACAGTACAAGCTAATCAACATATTGCTCCATTTATTTTTTCATAAAACTTGTACCTTGTTTAGAAAAACAGTAAATGTGCAACAAAGATTATCTTTTCTTTGCATGGTATCCAGGGACTGTGTCAAGGATGTATACTAGTCAAAGAAGAAAACACAAATATAAGGCACTTTATTTACTTTTCTGTTCAGTTTTCATGAGTGATTGAAGTACTAGGTTTTGATCAGTTTAGTCTTTCCTTCATTAAAAATTATGATTATCTGACACTTTTTTTTGCCTAGCCTTAAAAAAATCACTTTAGAGACAGATGTTAAACTTATTGTGGCAATCATTTCACAATTTATACATGTATGAAATCACTGTTATAGCCTTAAATTAATATAAGTCAATAATACCTCAATAAAAATGAAAAAAGACTTCATTTCGTTTTTCTTCTATAAAATGCTTAAGATAATTGACAGCTGGGGAAGGTTAGGGGGTGAAGGGATTGAGAAAAAAGGAAAAAA